AAATGGTTCGCGACTGGGAGGTGCAGTTGTTTGTTGCGAACCGAGCGCAGGTGTTCTGCAAAGCGGTCCCCGAGTCTCCGCTTGGTTTCCCCGATGTAGAGGAAGCCACACCGGGTACAACGGATGCAGTATACCACATTGGCAGATGTGCAGGTGAACATCTGCTTGATGTGGAAAGTCGTCTTGGGGCCTGGGATGGGGGTGAGGGAGGAGGTATGGGGGCAGGTGTAGCACTTCCTGCGGTTGCAGGGAAAAGTGCCGGGTGTGGTGGAGCTGGAGGGGAGTGTGGAGCGGACAAGGGAGTCACGGAGAGAGTTGTCCCTCCGGAAAGCAGATAAGGGTGGGGAGGGAAAGATGTCTTTGGTGGTGGGGTCGGATTGCAGATGGCGGAAGTGTCGGAGGATGATGCGTTGGATCCGGACGTTGGTGGGGTGGTACGTGAGGACGAGGGGGATTCTTTTTTGGTTTTTATTGCGTGGACGGGGTGTGAGGGATGAGGTGCGGGAGATGTGGGAGACACGGTTGAGGGCGTTCTCGACCACCGAGGAGGGGAAGTTACGGTCCTTGAAAAACGAGGACAACTGAGATGTACGGGAGTGGAATGCCTCTTCCTGGGAGCAGATGCGGCGGAGGCGAAGGAATTGGGAATAGGGGATAGCATTTTTGCAGGAAGGTGGGTGGGAGGAGGAGTATTCTAGGTAGCTGTGGGAGTCGGTGGGCTTGAAATGAATATCGGTTTCGAGGTGGTTGCCCGATATGGAGACAGAGAGGTCCAGGAAGGGGAGAGAGGTGTTAGAGATGGTCCTGGTAAATTTAAGGTTGGGGTGGAAGGTGTTAGTGAAGTGTATGAACTGTTCGAGCTCCTCGTGGGAGCACGAGGCGGCACCGATACAGTCATCAATGTAACGGAGGAAGAGGTGGGGTTTAGGGCCGGTGTAGGTACGGAAGAGGGATTGTTCCACGTAACCTACAAAGAGGCAGGCGTAGCTTGGGCCCATGCGGGTACCCATGGCTACCCCCTTTGTCTGTAGGAAGTGGGAGGAATTGAAAGAGAAGTTGTTGAGTGTGAGGACGAGTTCGGCTAAGCGGATGAGGGTGTCAGTGGAGGGGGACTGGTCGGGCCTGCGGGACAGGAAGAAGCGGAGGGCCTTAAGGCCGTCTGCATGGGGAATGCAGGTGTAGAGGGACTGGACGTCCATGGTAAAGATGAGGTGTTGGGGACCGGGGAATTGGAAGTTCTGGAGGAGGTGGAGGGCGTGGGTGGTGTCACGGACATAGGTAGGGAGTTCCTGGACCAAGGGGGAGAAAATGGAGTCGAGATAGTTGGAGATCAGTTCGGTGGGGCAGGAGCAGGCGGAGACAATGGGTCGACCAGGGCATTCAGGTTTGTGGATTTTGGGAAGGAGATAGAAGCGGGCAGTGCGAGGTTGGGGAACGATGAGTTTGGAGGCCGTGGGTGGGAGGTCACCTGAGGTGATGAGGTTGTGGATGGTTTGCGAGATGATGGTTTGGTGCTCAGGGGTGGGGTCATGATCAAGGGGGCGGTAGGAGGAGGTGTCGGAGAGTTGGCGTCCAGCCTCGGCGATGTAGAGGTCAGTGCGCCATACTACAACTGCACCTCCCTTGTCCGCGGGTTTTATGGTGAGGTTGGGATTGGAGCGGAGGGCTGCACGTTCTGCGGGGGAGAGGTTGGAGTGGGTGAGAGGGGTGGAGAGGTTGAGGCGATTGATGTCTCGACGGCAGTTGGAGATGAAGAGGTCTCTTACATCTGCCTTGTCAAATCCTTCCAGAATCTTGTATGTTTCAATAAGCTCAATATTCCAATGAGCACAGGCCCAAATGACGGTGTCCTTACAAGACAGTCCCTCCATATCTGGTATCAGCATAGTGAAACCTTCACTTGACTGCCTCCAATGCAAGTGTAACTTACCTTAGATAAAAAGGTCCAATGTTCACAAGATTTCAGCTGTAGTCTGACCAGTGCTTTGTACAGTTTTAGCAAACCCTGCGTACTTTTTTATTTCTTTTCCTCTGTAATAAAAGCCAGCATCCTGTTTACTTTTCCATTACCCACTGAACTTGGATGCAAGCTTTTTGTGATTCATGGATGAGGACTGCCAAATCGCTGTGTTTTGTGGCTTTCTGAAGATTTTCTCCATTTGCTTAATATTAAGTTCTATCATGAAGGTGAACACCAAGTATTTATTTGACTCCTGCCATTTCCTGCTTCTCCATTATCATTTCTGAAGCCTCATTCTCTGCGTTCACGTTGGCTTCTCTCTTTTTTTATATATTTAGAGACACTCTTGTCCTTCTGTTCACCCTCAGTTTATTTCTGTCCTCTTATTTTTAAGATCCTTTTTGGCTTTAAAACTTTCCCAATTCTCTGGCTTACCACTAATCTTTGCCAATTGTATGTTTTTTTTTCTTTCAGTCTGATGCTACACTTAACTTCCCTGGTTAACCATGGTTAGCTTCTTCCCTCCTTAGAATCCTTCTCACTCACTGGAATATGTCTTTTCTGTGAGCCATGCACTATTTTCTGAAACATCTGCCTTTGATCCTGAACTGTTTTTGCTATGAAACTCCTTTCCCAGTCTACTCTAGCCAACCCTGCTCTCATTCCTTTCAAATTACCCTTATTTAAAGATTGTTTTTGACCCAAGTTGCTCCCTCTTAAACGGAATACTCAATTCTATCATGTTACGGTCACTGTTTCCAAGGAGATCTTTTACCCTGAAATCCTTTATTAAGCCTGCCTCTTTCCACTTCACTAGATCCAAAATAGCCTTTATCCACAATATATTGTTCTAGGAACTATCCCAAATATACTGTATACGTTATTTCACATGGCTTCCTCTACCAATCTGACTAACCCAATCTATATGAAGATTAAATTCATATGATTAATGTACTGCCTTTGTTAAATGCCCTCATTACCTCCTTATTTATATTTTGCCCCACCAAAAAGCTACTGTTAGGGGCCTATAGACAACAATTAATAGGGAGTTCCTGTGTTTTTCATTTGTTACCTCAAACCATCTGGAGTCAAGATCATTTCTTGCTATTGTACTTACTGTCCCTTACCAACAATGCTACCTCACCAATATGTCCTTTTCAAAAAAAATGACATATCCCTAAATATTTGGTTCCCAGATCTGATCTCCTTCAAACCATGTCTTTGTAACTTATATAAGATCACATCCATTAACCTGTATTTGTGCCGCTCATTCATTTATTTTGTTCTGAATACACATTGAAGTAAAGAGCCTTAATTTTGCCTTATACCATTGTTTCCCCTTTTGACCCTATTTATTGTTGTTTATCTATGTCAGTCCCTTTCATCCTTTCCTGACCCACTGAGGTTTGTTATTCAAATAGCTGCCCTGGAATTCTACCATATCATCTTACTTTGTAATTCTACACTTCCATCTCCCAAACCCTCCCCATCTAGTTAGTTTAAAGCCCAATCTACAGTCTTAATTATGTGATTTGCCAGGACACTGGTTTCAGCACAGTTCAAGTGAAACCCATCCCACAAAAATAGCTCCCTTTCACCCCACTGATGCCAGTGCCCCACAAACTGAAAGCCATTCCACTCTCACTAATCTTTGAGCCACACATTTAACTCTGACTTTATTTACCCTATATTAGTTTACCTGTGGCTGACGTGGTAATCCAGAAATTATTTGAGGTTCTTCTTTTGAATTTAGCTCCTAAATATTCAACGTCTTTCCCAAAGCCTCTGTTCCAGTCTTACCAATGACATTGGTACTAACATGGACAACGACTACTGGATCTCTCCCCTCCTTCTCCCAGTTCTTCTTCTGCCCCGAGGAGATGTCATCGTCCCTGGCACCAGACAGGCAACACAGCCTTCAGGATTCCTATTCACAGTTGCATATAACAGTATCTACCCTCCTAATTATACTGTCCCTTACAACAACCACATTCGCATTGAACTGAATTGAATAACTTATTGTCACGTGTATTCAATGTAATACAGTGCAAAGTATGTATCTTCGCCGTACATACATGGGGCCATTCATCTTAACTTAGAATAAGATAACAAAACAAAACGACAGTCCAACTATCGTTTCCACTGCTGCAGTCCCGCTCTGGGCTTTCCAGCCCTCGCCATACCTCCGCCAGAGTCTCGCTCTGGGCTGCCTCACCAGCCCACTCTTGATCCGCTGACGCTGGACACAACCCGCGCATTCAGCTCCAGCCAAGTGGTTCCCGGTTGCGACCCAGCTCCTTAAGGAAGGTAGTTAAAGGGGGATAGAATTACTACGGAGGGGGGACAAAGGAAGAGAAATTCCTATTTCCTCTCCCTACTTGAATGACTCTCTGTACCAAGTTGCCATAATCGTTTTCTCTATAGTCCCCAGTCTTGTCTGCGCAACTTGCAAGAACCTTGTAACCGCGAGACAACCACAAGGACCGAGGCTCCTCAGTTTTAACCTCCTGGATACTCACACCTGTCTGTTTCTCCCTCTCCACATGCAGCCGGACTCAAGCACTTTTATTGATGTTTTGTTTGTGTACCTTCACAGTTACAGGGACCGAACGAAGAACGTCCCCTATCCGCCGCCACCCTCCTCCATCATCCTTGTGGGTTGAACCGGTCCCGCTGCTGCCGTGGAAACACTACAAATCCCATCGTGCATCGCGGGCGGCAGTGACCCGCTGCTATTGGTCGATTAGGGGCGGTTGTGTGGGGCACGTGGAGTGGCGCTGACCAATTGGAAAGCAGTACGGCCCGCCGTGGCGGGGCCTGCTGTTATAGGAGATGGTCCGAGGACTTCTCAGGTATGGAGTCGGCAACTAGTGGATAAGATTGAATTATATTTCCCGGAGCGTGTGTGCGCTGGGGCCCGGCTTCTCTTAAAAGGGAAGGCGGCAGATTCTGTGGGCGGGTGCTGTGAGCTCAGTGACCCGGGCACGGTAGTGTGCGGGTGAAATGTTGGCGGCGAGGCTGAAGCTGTTAGGCCTCTACTCCATGTTATCCGCTATATTAATGGACTTTCCTCTGCCAGTAGTACATTGAATTAGCCGCAAAGAGACAGGCCATTCCTGCCCCACAGAAAGATGGGGCAGCTGGCTAGATTCTAGTTTTAGCAGCTTCAACTTCTATAACATCACTGCTTAAACCTCCGCCTCAGCGCTGGAATACTTCAGGAAACACGTACAGACCTTAAAAGGGGAGTAGAGTTAATTTGTCAGGATTTTTAACAAGCCTGGGAGGTTTCAATTTTGTGAAGGTGGGACTGTCCCGAAATTGGGGGTAGTCATCGCAGGACTGAAGAGTGTCGTACTTTAATGCATGTAGTTTATGAAACACGTTAAATGAGTTTGTGCAGCTTGAACTGAAAACAACAAATGCTGGAAATCACACGGGATCAGAGAGCAAGCTAACCCTTTGAGTCTAGATGACTCTTCATCAGAGCTGATTGACGGGTATGATGTACGTATCCCAGAGATGTGGGCTGGAGCCAAATTATCTAAGGATACACGTCCTGTAAAAGGACAGACAAGTGGACAGAGAGTGCAGTGTTGCTTTGTCGATAAGATATGATGTGGGGAAGAAAAATAAATCGGGAGATAGAAAAGGCATGTAAGAAAGGGACTATTGCAATAATCGTGGGGGACTTCAATACACAAATGAACTGGTAAAATCAGGTTGGTAATGGATCTCAAAAGCAGGAATTTGTGGAATTTACACAAGTTTTGTTTTTGGAGTAGTTTGTGGTAGAGTGTGCTTGGGAGCAAGCAATTCTGGATTTAGTGATGTGTAATGAAGCAGACTTGATTAAGGTGTTGAAGGAGAAGAGAGAGACTACACCCCAAGTTCAGGGAGGGTCTCAGAGGACTGGAAAGTGCCTAATATAACATATGCACGTATACACACACACGCACACAAAGGAAGGGAGGCAGAAAACAGGAAACTATAGGCCAGTTAGCTTGACCTCAGTCGTTGGTGAGAGTTTAGAGTCTGTTATTAAGTTTGAGATTGCGGAGTACTTGGAAATGCATTGTTAAAATAGGGCAGAGTCAGCATAGCTTCATCGAGGGGAGGTCACACCTGTCAAATCTGTTAGACTTCTTTGAGGACGTAACAAGAACGTTAGACAAACGAGAGTTGGTGGGTGTGATCTGTTTGGATTTCCAAAAGGTCTTTGACAAGGTGCCGCACGGGAGGCTGCTAAATAAGACGAGCCCATGGTGTTAGGGGCAAGGTACTGGCATGGATTAGCTGAAGAGGGGAGGAATGAAGCAATCTTTTTCAGGATTGCAGCCAGTGACCAATGGAATTCCACAGGGATCAGTATTGAGACCACAACAATTCATGTTATACATTAATGATCTCGATGAAGGAACTGAGGGCAATGTCGCTAAGTTTGCAGTTGACACACAGGTGGAGGGGCAGGTAGTGTCGAGGAAGTGGGGAGGCTGCAGAAAATCTTGGACACGCTAGGCGAGTGAGCAACGAAATTGCAAAGTGTGAAGTTATTTATTTTGGTAGGAAGAATAGGGAAAAACTTTGGAAGTCTGAAACACAAAAGGATGTAGGTGTCCTAGTTCAGGATTCTCTTAAAGTTAACATGCAAGTTTATTTGGTAGTCAGGATGGAAAATGTAATGTCAGCATTCATTTCAACAGGGCTAGAAAATAAGAGCAGAGATGTGCTGCCAAGGCTGTTTAAGGCTCTGGTCAGACATTTGGAATACTGTGAGCGGTTTCGGGCATCATATCTAAGGGAAGATGTGTTGATGTTGGACGGAGTCCGGAGGAGGTTTACGAGAATGATCCAAGGTATGAAGAGTTTCATATAACGAGCAGTTGAGGACTGTGGGTCTGTACTCAATGGAGTTTAGAAGGATTATGTGGGATCTGATTAAAACTTACAGGATACTGAGGGGCCTAGATAGAGTGGACTTGGAGATGATGTTTCCAATAATAGGAGAGACAACTCCTTTACGACCTGAGATGAGGAGAAATAGCTCCAGCCAGAGGGTGTTGACTCTGTGGAACTCATTGCTGCAGAGGGATATGGAGGCCAAGTCGTTGAGTGCATTTAAGACCGAGATAGATGGATAGATAGATTCTTGATTAATAAGGGTTCAAGAATAATGGGAAGAAGGCAGGAGAACAGGATTAAGAAGCATCAGCCTTGATGGGTGGCTCAGTGGTTAGCACTGCCACCTCACGCCGCCAGGGACCCTGGTTAGATTCCACCCTTGAATGACTCTCTGTGTGGACTTTGCACATTCTCCCTGTGTCTGTGTGGGTTTCCTCCGGGTGCTCCCATTTCCTGTCACAAAGATGTGCGTGTTAAGTGGATTGGCCATGCTAAATTGCCCATAGTGTCCAGGCATATGCAGGCTAAGTGAATTAGCCATGGGAAATGCAGAATTACAGGGATAGGGTAGGTAGGTGGGTCTGGGTGGGATGCTCCTTGGAGGGTCGGTGTGGACGCGATGGGCTGAATGGTCTTTCCCACAGGGATTCTTTATAAGGATTCTATGATCGAATGGTGGAGCAGACTTGATGGGCTGAATTGCTTAATTCTGTTCCTGTATCATATACGTGCACCTTGGAACAGAATTCAGAAGGTAACCTTTTGGAGGTTTTCAAAATTGCTGAAGGGAAAAAGCACAGTTCTGTCAAGTGGGTCAATAACCGGAGGTCCTTGACTAGGCTAAAAGAAATTTGTTTTCCCTTGGCATATTCCAGTTTCCAGCATCTTTATCAGGGAAGGTGATTATGAGCTAATTTTATACATAATTTTTGAGGATGTTGCACATTCTCCGTGAGAATGAGCTTGCAGGATTATAGACAAACATGTAGTGGCAGAACAGGCCAAATGACTGCCTGTACTGCACATTGCAGCAAATCTATAAATATTGCATATGTGTCAACTGTTCGACATTGGTATTTCATCATTGCACAAGTCTTCTCCGAATTTTTGCCTCTTCTCACTTTATCCTGTCAATTCCCTTCTAGCACTGATCTGTGAGACAACAGTTAGAACTTTATATTAGTCTATTGTACTGCCTTTGTTCACTAGCCATCCTTAATATGTTCTATTACCAGCACTGGACATTTCTCTTGAACCTTTTCTTATGATAGATTATTGAAGGCCTCTTTAGGTGCTGTGTATATTGACCGGTAATTTGCAGGACTTTGGATGGAAAATTGTCCGCATTTGCTCTTGTCATCTGTCTGATTATGACTGCAACTTTAAGAATTGGTGCAGATTGACACAGAAATCCAAATAATGCAGTCTGTTATTCATTGCTCAATCAGAAGCTACACTGAAAATTAGTCTCCCCACCCCACTGAGCCAACAATTGGCAAAATCAGTTAATGTGGCAAATGCATTACTCTTCTGCTCTCAAAACTGTTTTAAGAAAAAAAAAGTTGAGTTATGTTCAGTGAGCACTGGGTTTTTAACAATTATCTGAATAATAACTGCCACTAACTAATTGATCTATGAAAATAATGTTAGATGACTCATTAATTACTAGAATTTCTACATTTTATTTCGGTTTTCCATGACACATCAGTTTCTGAGTTTGCCCAATCTTTTACTTTGCTCTATGTAAAACCTTTTTAAATGTGTTTTGAGGATTAGTACTTTTATTGCCTGGTTAGTTGTCAGAATTCTTTAATGTGATTGCTCTGATAGCTTGATGATATCACTACAGTTCAGCACCAGAAATCCCCACTAAACAACAATTCATTCAAATGCACATTACAAGTTTACGCCACAGCGATCCTTTCTTCAAGAGTAACAACATGCATTCTTTTTTCACCACTGACTACTGAATCTCGGCCCTTAAATCCACTGCATTCCCCTTGACTATTCTTTATTTCTTAAAAGGATTCCTTTTTGAAATCCATCCTGACTTTTGAATCGTATTTTCAATCTGTAGATATTTTGTTACCTAATCTTTCAGTATTGATTCTACACTCATCTCATCTACCTTGTTAGGCAGACTCTCAGAAACAAAGTTGACCTGCTTCCACTCTGGTTCACTGAGTTCTGTGTGATCAGTCTGAAGTGTGATGTGCGGACTTGACCATGTGCAGGACGGGCAGTCAGTTAGGTAAGGTGGCAGGTTTGCAATGCAGAGTGATGCCAATAGCACAGGTTCAATTCCCACACTGGCAGAGGTCACCATGAGGGTCTCACTTTCTCAACCTCACTCCTCGCCTGACACGAGATGACCCTCAGGTTAACCTCATCATTAGTCATCTCTAATTAGAGAACAGCCCTATGGTCCTCTGGACAATAGCAACTCTGTTGAAGGGTGTGATAGATGACTTATTGGTCAGATTCAAGTGATCCCCAAATATCTCAACTTCACCTTCATTTGTTCCTGATGAAGTCTCTCAATCTTATTGGTGTCTTCCAGAACTTATATTTCTATTTTGTTTGGTCACAAGTCAAGGATTTTGATGAGTCAGTGGGAATCAAAGATCTATTCTACCACTGATAACGTAACTGGTCACAATTGAAAAGAATATGTTGAGGGTTTAAAAGTGTGAATTCAGTTACTAGACTAGTTAGCCTGAAGTCCACAACACAAGCTTTTCAAAGTGTCACTTGGCTGTACTCTGGTTAGATGTGATTGTGCAATTCTGCTAAGACTCACAGGTGTATTCCTGTACTTCAGCACATGTCACAATGAAATCTAATTCTAATTCCTAGTGAGAGCTTGGGCTCCATTGATAACACACTGGCAAAGTCAGAAAATTGTGACTTTAAGCTTCTATGAACTTGACACAAACTGGGTTGACATTTTAGAGTACTACTGTTGTTTGCTAATGGTCTTGTGGTGTGCTTTGGGGCATTTTCATACTTGAACTTGGGGGACTTTAACTTTCCAAATATTGACTGGAAACGCTATAGTTCGAGTACTTCAGATGGGTCAGTTTTTGTCCAATGTGTGCAGGAGGGTTTCCTGACACAGTATGTAGATAGGCCAACAAGAGGCGAGGCCACATTGGATTTGGTACTGGGTAATGAACCAGGCCAGGTGTCAGATTTGGAGGTAGGAGAGCACTTTGGTGATAGTGACCACAATTCGGTTATGTTTACTTTAGCAATGGAAAGGGATCGGTATATAAAGCAGGGCAAGAGTTATAGCTGGGGGAAAGGCAATTATGAGGCGATGAGGCAAGATTTAGGATGGAGAAGGAAACTGCAGGGGCTGGGCACAATTGAAATGTGGAGCTTGTTCAAGCAACAGCTACTGCGTGTCCTTGAGAAGTATGTACCTGTCAGGCAGGGAGGAAGTGGTTGAGCGAGGGAACCGTGGTTTACTAAAGAAGTTGAATCTCTTGTCAAGAGGAAGAAGGAGGCTTATGTAGAGATGAGGCGTGAAGGCTCAGTGAGGGCGCTTGAGAGTTACAAGTTAGCCAGGAAGGACCTAAAGAGAGAGCTAAGAAGAGCCAGGAGGGGACATGAGAAGTCTTTAGCAGGTAGGATCAAGGAAAACCCTAAAGCTTTCTATAGGTATGTCAGGAATAAAAGAATGACTAGAGTAAGATTGGGGCCGGTCAAGAACAGTAGTGGGAAGTTGTGCGTGGAGTCCGAAGAGATAGGAGAGGTGCTAAATGAATATTTTTCGTCAGTATTCACACAGGAAAAAGACAATGTAGTCGAGGAGAATACTGAGATACAGTCTATTAGACTAGACGGGATTGAGGTTCATAAGGAGGAGGTGTTAGCAATTCTGGAAGGTGTGAAAATAGATAAGTCCCCTGGGCCGGATGGGATTTATCCAAGGATTCTCTGGAAAGCTAGAGAGGAGATTGCAGAGCCTTTGGCTTTGATCTTTATGTCGTCATTGTCTTCAGGAATTGTGCCAGAAGACTGGAGACTAGCAAATGTCCCCTTGTTCAAGAAGGGGAGTAGAGACAACCCTGGTAATTATAGACCAGTGAGCCTTACTTCGGTTGTGGGTAAAGTGTTGGAAAGGATTATAAGAGATAGGATTTATAATCATCTAGAAAGGAATAATTTGATTAGGGATAGTCAACACGGTTTTGTGAAGGGTAGGTCGTGCCTCACAAACCTTATTGAGTTCTTCGAGAAGGTGACCAAACAGGTGGATGAGGGTAAAGCGGTTGATGTGGTGTATTTGGATTTCAGTAAAGCATTTGATAAGGTTCCCCATGGTAGGCTATTGCAGGAAATACGGAGGCATGGGATTGAGGGTGATTTAGCGGTTTGGATCAGAAATTGGCTAGCTGTAAGAAGACAGAGGGTGGTGGTTGATGGGAAATGTTCATCCTGGAGTTCACTTACTAGTGGTGTACCTCAAGGATCTGTTTTGGGGCCACTGCTGTTTGTCATTTTTATAAATGACCTGGATGAGGGCGTAGAAGGATGGGTTAGTAAATTTGCAGATGACACCAAAGTTGGTGGAGTTGTGGATAGTGCGGAAGGATGTTGCAGGTTACAGAGGGACATAGATAAGCTGCAGAGCTGGGCTGAGAGGTGGCAAATGGAGTTTAATGCGGAAAAGTGTGAGGTGATTCACTTTGGAAGGAGTAACAGGAATACAGAGTACTGGGCTAATGGTAAGATTCTTGGTAGTGTGGATGAGCAGAAAGATCTCGGTGTCCATGTGCATAGATCACTGAAAGTTGCCACCCAGGTTGATAGCGTTGTTAAGAAGGCGTACAGTATGTTAGGTTTTATTGGTAGAGGGATTGAGTTTCGGAGCCATGAGGTCATGTTGCAGCTGTACAAAACTCTGGTGCGGCCGCACTTGGAGTATTGCGTACAGTTCTGGTCACCGCATTATAGGAAGGATGTGGAAGCATTGGAAAGGGTGCAGAGGAGATTTACCAGGATGTTGCCTGGTATGGAGGGAAGGTCTTATGAGGAAAGGCTGAGGGTTTTGAGGCTGTTTTCGTTAGAGAGAAGAAGGTTAAGAGGTGACTTGATAGAGACATACAAGATGATCAGAGGATTAGATAGGGTGGACAGTGGGAGCCTTTTTCCTCGGATGGTGATGGCTAGCACGAGGGGACATAGCTTTAAATTGAGGGGTGATAGATATAGGACAGATGTCAGAGGTAGGTTCTTTACTCAGAGAGTAGTAAGGGCGTGGAATGCCCTGCCTGCAAAAATAGTAGACTTGCCCACTTTAAGGGCATTTAAATGGTCATTGGATAAACATATGGATGATAATGGAATAGTTTAGGTTAGATGGGCTTCAGATTGGTTTCACAGGTCGGCGCAACATCGAGGGCCGAAGGGCCTGTACTGCGCTGTAATGTTCTATGTTGATTGGTGCTTTATAATGCAAGTTGTTCTGCATTATCAGAAATGCCACCTATTTGATAAAGCAATATGTATTCCTAACATGTATCAAGGCAATGATCGTGAATGTTTAATCATATTTGGTGATGAATTTTTATTTTCACTTTCTGGGCAGAAATCCAGCAGAGTGGATCTAGTACATCATCTTTCATAGACCATGTTTTCATTCCATTAATTTTGAAGTTAAGAGTATAAATCTGTTGGAGGCAATTCAGAAGAGGTTCACTGGATTGATAGCTGAAATGGATTGCCTTCGGAGGAAAAGTTGGACAAACTGGACTTGTTTCCAATTGTTTAGAAGAGTGAGTGGTGACTTGATTGAAGTATCCTGAATGGTTATGATATGGTGGATCTGGAAAGGATGTTTTTTTAATGTGGTGAATCCAGAACTAGCGTCAACTGGTTACAAATTAGGGCTCCCCTTTTATGACAGACAAGAATTTTTTTCTGATGATTGTGTGACTTTGGACATTCGGCCTCAGAACAGATATGGGGGTCATTGAATATTTTTAAGGTTGATGTGGATAGATTCTAGATAGGCAGGGGAATCAAAGATAACAACCTTTGTTGGGTAAATGAGAGTGTGAAATTCAAAACAGCTGTATTAGTTAATGATCTTATTGAATGCAAAGCAGACTCAAGGGACTGAATGGCCTACCCCAATCCTATTTTGTATGTAGATGGGTCCTAATGAGAACTTGCAACTGCCAGGCAGAGAAGTTGAAAATGCATTTGTCTTGTCAAACCGAATTGGTTTGTATCTGTAAGGGAGGGAGGAATGCATGTTCATTGCTTTCCTTTGGAATAAGATGATCTCCTAGGGTCACTGCTAAGATCCAGTAGAACTAAGTTTGCATTGCTTGTGTCTAAGTTAGTTAAAACAGTTTAAGCAGAAATAGATATAGTTTTGTCATATTCCTAATGGCATTCAATGTTACAGTATTTTCCATGTCCTATAGTGCTGTCTGTTCTGTGACCTGCTTAGCAGAATCATAGAAGCTTACTTGACAGGAGGTCATGTGACCCTTTATGTCTGTGCTGCCTCTTTGAAAGGAACTCAGTTTAATCCATCCTTGGTTTTTCCTCATGACCCTGTAAGTTAGCCTTTTTTCATGTGCATATCCAGCTGGCCTTTTGTAGTATGTTACTCACCTTAACATACTATCGAATTGTCATTACATTGCTGGTTGTGGAAGTTGGCTGCATCAACTTTTCTACAACAGCGACTGTACTTAAAAATACCTTTAACTGATTATGAAATGCTTTGTGAAAACCTGAGTGGTTCAACAAGAAGTTAATGCAATCACAAGGGAAGTTAATCGATCAGAAGTCTGCAATTTGCTTAACATAAAACATGGGGGGGGATTCACTAGAATTTTCCTTTATCCTCTCTCTTTACTTCCTGATTCTGTTAAACTTAGCATGTACCTTTCATTCTTGAAGCCTTGCAAAATGCTTGTCAGCTATTCCTACAGAGATACAAAGGGAAACAGTTATTCTTGCAACTGCAAGTTACTTTTTGTAACGTGTTTTACTACACAACCATCGCCTACTATGATGTGATGCTTGGTTTTCCCGAGCAAGCACTTACCTGCAGTAGTCATTGGACGCAGAAAAGGTTGCAATAATGGGTCCCAGATTCTGGGTATGGCTGTTGCATCTGCAATTATCCCCTCCAGAGGACTGAGAAAAAAGATTGCTTCATGGTTTTCAGGTTTAATACATCATAAAAGTTTGGAGACTCATGTTGGATGTGGCTTTGCCAGTTTTTAATCCATTCTCTTCCCATTTTAAGGTTTTTCCAGAAATCATGGAAATTATTGAAAATACCAATCATTTCATGAGCCTGACTTTTACTATACAATTGTTCTTGTTTTCCTAAATATGCAGTGTAATTGTATGAGTGTCGGAGCCTTTTAGTGTCCCAACCGGTTTAATTGAAAAATCCTTTAGATTGTGAAAACTATGCAAAGCATGAAAACTGGTTTGCATGGCTAAAGAATTCAGAAACAATCACCAAGCCTTCTATGTAAATATGTTGCTGTTGAAAAGCATGTACTGCATTGTAGTAACAAGACTAGAGACTGAACGTAGTAACCTTGGCATTTGACAGTAATGTATCAAAAAGTTGCTGCTTCTAGCCCCGCTAGTAAATATGTGCACAGAATCTAGGCTGTCACTTCAGTACAATACAAATGGAGTGCTTTCCCTTGGGTATTATCTTTCAAGTGGACGTTTAAATTAAGATGCCTCTTAAACATTGACGCAATCAATTGAAGTCCCTAAATATAGAGAATAAACCTTTTTGCTCTTAATTCCTGTGGATCAGTTTCTAGGGATAGATAAATTATTGTGCTTTGTCATTATGCTTCTCTCTAATCTGAGGTTTAATAATGAAATGAATACCGGTCTGGATTTTTCAAATTCCTACTAATCGTAGTATGTTTTTTAAAACATCTTTGAACGGTCTTAGTAATGAAAAGGGCATATAACAAAAGGACGCATTTTGTTATGCAGTTACATTTTATTGCAAACCTATACAAATGTTCAGGCCATATTGAATTTTTTTGTAGAACAAAATGACTTGTATTTCATTTTATTTGTTCTTTCAGATCGGCTCCATCATGCCAGTTCCTTGCAGCAGCTGTGACAAGAAGCCAGCAGTCCTCAGGCGGCCCAAAACAGGCCACTCCCTTTGTAAAGAGTGCTTTTTCTGGGCCTTTGAAGAGGAGGTTCATCAGACAATTATATCTGCTGAGCTGTTCCAGAAGGGGGAGACTGTCGGGATTGGTGCTTCTGGTGGGAAAGACTCAACCGTTCTGGCTCATGTTCTAAAGGTCTTAAATGAGCGCTATAATTATGGGTTAAATCTGATGCTGCTCTCCGTGGATGAAGGAATCAGTGGTTATCGTGATGACTCTTTAGAGACAGTAAAGAGAAACCAGCAACAGTATGATCTGCCTCTTAAAATTGTTTCCTATGAAGAGCTGTATGGTTGGACAATGGATCAGATTGTAAAGAAAGTTGGTTTGAAAAATAACTGCACATTCTGTGGAGTCTTCAGACGGCAAGCTCTTGACCGAGGAGCTATGATGCTGAAGGTAGACAAGGTTTGCACAGGTAACACCGCATTGACTTCATTCATTTGGGCTCAAATTTATATGCATGGTACATTGACTTCTAAATGTCCACTAGGATCAATCTAATAGATGCACTGCGTCAGCCCATTTCATCTCCGTCCTAATGGGATTTTCAACAAATGTTCTATCACCATATTTGGGTGTCAATATCTTAGGATAGTTCACACTTTATATATTATAAAAGCTTTTTTTCCTTCCTCTGTGCTTAAGAAATTATAATTTTATTTATCTTGGATAATCTGAGTCCTTTATAAAGTGATCTGTTCTTTTCTGCATGGATCGTATTGTGTGTAGTACTAGGAACTGTTTCATAGAATCATAGAATCCCTACAGCATGAAAGAAGGCCATTCGGTCTGATGAGTCTGAACCAACTCTCTGAAGAGCAACCCACCCCGCTGCCTCCTCTTTCCCC